CGCCGCCCCGACGGCTTCGTCCACACCAGGAAGAGGCGCTACTACGCCGGGGGGGCCGCGCGAGCGACGTGGGCGTGTATCGGACGCACCTCTTTGGCTCGCCGACCATCCTCGTCTGCTCGCCGGCAGCCAACAAGTTCATCCTCAAGTCCTCCCAGGACGACACCTTCGGCATCCACTGGCCCGTGCCGGAGCTCGTGGGCCTCTCCTGCATGGTCAACGTCGAGGGTAGCCAGCACGCCAGGCTCCGCGGGTTCATCCTCGTCGCCATCAACTGCCCCGGCTCGCTCCGGGCCATCGTCGAGGTCATCCAACCGTGTCTCGTGGCGGCGCTGCGGTCGTGGGCAGACAAGGGCACCATCTCCGCCGCCACTGAGATCAAGAAAGTACGCATGCATGCTCCTTAATTAGCTATATATTCCGGCGCACAGTGATGCATGCTAATGCGTTTATTTGAAGCCATAAATCGAATAACTAACGCATGCGCTTGCAGGTGACATTCGAGAACATATGCAAGATGTTCGTGAGCAGGGATCCATCGCCTCTCACCGACAAGATCTCCATGGTCGTCTGCTTTCACGAGACGTGCGCTCGTGATGCCCGCCAAGCCACGCGCGCCCACGCCAAGCAGAGCCGCATGCTTGGCTACGTGCCCATGTCAGGCTAAGCTAAGCAGCGCGCCGCGCTTCCTCCGCTTTAACCGACACTCCCTTCGCCAGCGCCCTTTGACGACCCGGCCTTTGCTCTTCCGCCGCCATCGCCGCCTTTCACCGCCCGCGCTGCTGCTAAGCGTTGAGAGGGACGACTCCGAGAGAGACGACCGAGAGATAAGGGGTAAGTTTGTCTTTTCACAGGGCTTTTGTTAATTTTTAATTGCTTTGATCCGGATGTAGATAACTGAGTTAAGAATTGGGGTAAACGGAGCCTTCGTTTTGGAAAAGTAGGGGTAAAAACACAAAGTGAAAGAAAGTGGGGGTAAAATCACAATTGGGGTTTGAAATAGGAGCAAAAACACAATATTCGGAAGAGCAAACTCGTCATATTTCAACTTTTTTAACACCGTTACCTGTTGTTCACGGCGTAGGGGTAAACTGAACATTCGTTTTGGAAAAGCAGGGGTAAAAACACAAAGTGGAAGAAAATGGGGGTAAAATCACAATTCGAATTCAAAATAGGGGCAAGAACCCAATAGCCCCAATATTTTAATATGTTTTGATAATCGATCCAATGCCCTAAGAAATATTGGACTCGCATCCTCTTCGCGCTTGGCACGCTTCTTCCTCCACGGCTCCACCCCTGGTGTCTCCTACGGACGGAGGAGTGAGGAGCACGTCTCCGTGAACGGAGAATTGCGGCTTCGCTTGTAGCTTGTCAGCTGGACGGTACTGCCACTATAGGATAGGATTCGATGATGGTCACGGATTCACAGCCAACAGAATCCTGGAGTGTTCCACGATTGGAATGTCCTGGTGCGTGATAGCCTTAGCTAATGGGCTCACTCAAAACTGGGCCACGTACAAACAAAAGAGCCTAGAGGCCCAAATAATTCTCCCCTCCCTCTAACTCCCTTGCTCAGAGCTCAATGTTGAGTCAAATAGTAGAACCTGAACAAAAAAAGTTCAGAAAAACTAATTTCGCTATATAATTTGTGGTACTAGTACTTAGGAAAATCTTGATACATAGGGATAATTGTTAGTCGATAAAAAATGATCATAATTGATCTAAATAGCGTGGAGTAACAATCAAGTTACACCCTGTTCGCTTGATCGTTTCTTTGGCTTATAAGCCGGCTGATGCTGTTTTGTTAGCCAAGCACCTAACTATTATCCCATTAGATGGTTGAACCAAACTATTGATCTAAAAGTGCCTAATAGATGGGTTGAGGACACTAGGATGTTGACTGAGGCCACCAAATGTAGAGCACACTAGGAGGTTGTTGGCTTCAAATGAGAAGAGGGGATGGTCGGGCATGTATGGTTACTTAGGATGTATGCTTGGAACGTGGAAGAATTGCCCTACAACTTGGAAAGAATCTTACCCACGTCATGTTGATAGCCTAAAATCATCGTTGAAAAATGAGCAAGGGACCAAGAAAGAGGACTTTGAGTATGATCAAGATGGTGAGTAGGAGTATCAACAACATGATCCACTTGCGTTGAGTGAGTTCTCGAAGATGCATGATGAGATTAAAGATTGGACGATCCATGAGAGACTTCGTGAGGATTTGGCCGAGCATATGTGGGCACGTCGTAATGCTACCTTTTTGTGATTGTATGTGATATATATGCACTTTGTTCAAGTTCCTCTTGATGATGTCAACAATTTATATTAAAATTGAAAATTTTTCATGTAAAAAATATGTTAGCTCTATTGGTTTAAAGTTACAAATTTGAAATATTTTTGGTTAAATTGTGGGGGTAAAACAAACATCATAGCGTGTCAACATATTGCAACTATAGAGAAAGAAGAATATGGAGCTTATTTTAGGTAGTACTACTTTAGGCAACAGCGAAAAACAGACCCAAAGAAAACAGGGGGCTATCTAACCAGGTAGTTAGGGGGCTGTTTTAGGTCATAAAGATGGAGATGCTCTAAGAAACAACACCAAATCACTATGCGCTTGGGGAGTAGCATCATTCTTGTCCTCATGTTATATGGCATATTTGGAGCGGGTGGCATGATATAATGGACAATGGATAGCATTATTACCGAAAAGCCGCCACTAATAAGCGTAATAAAAAAATAAAATCTAAATGATGCATGTCAATAATGCATCTAGAGATATATTTTGTTGCATAAGTTAATAGAAGTCCATCTAAAACAATTCATACCAAAATGGTAAATTTCAAGTTGCATGTGTACTAAAGGCAAAATTTCTTCAAGTTTGCCTTTTACACGCACATGCATCAAAATTTTGTCACTTTCATATGAATTCTTAAAATATTAGTTTGCATCACGGTTTTAGTGACAGTATACATGTATAGGCGTACTATGGATATGTTTCGTTTTAGATTTTCTATGAACTTTTAGGTTTAGAGGTTTAATGTTCTCACCAAAGAAATTATTTGCAATAAATATTTTCCGAAGTCCTTAAGATCATGGGTCCAATCATATTGTCATTTGACCAACTATGAGTTGATTTTTTTTCTTTTGCAGAGTTAGGTGGTCATTGCCCACGGTAACTTAGTCCTGCATTCAAAACAATGGAGCATGTTATAACAAGTATGTAGATGTTGAAGCGTGTCCTCGACCGAACACGAACAGAATGGCAGCGGCTGGGCTAAGTGGCTAACTGTGCAACTTGATCCATCCTATTCTCATTTCTAAGACCCTGTTTGGATCTTAAAAAAAAGTGACAATAAGATTATAGTCAAACTGTCTACTCTAAATCTACTATTTGAAGATTTTCAGGCACTATAAGAATGAGATTCAAAGTTTCCCTTTTTTTTATCCAGAATTCAAAATCCATAATTACGGACTACAACTTACAATTAGGATGAGATCCAAAGAGACCCTAAGTATTGCTACACACAAGAGAAAGTCACCCACAAGATCATGGAAGCTTGCCTAGGCTACAGATTACTTGCGGATCCGTTATGTGCATACACGATAATTCTAGACACAGGGGGTTGTTTGTTTCTTTAATCGCTCCTAAAATTCATGTTACATCGAATATTTAGATACTAATAAGGAGCATTAAATATAGATTAATTACAAAACCAATTACATAGATGGAGGCTAATTTACGAGACGAATTTTGTAAGCCTAATTAACCCGTCATTAGCACGTGTTTACTGTAAAACACTTTGTCAAATCATGGGCTAATTAGGCTTAAAAGATTCGTCTCGCAAATTAGTCGCAAGTTGTGCAATTAGTTTCGTAATTAGTCTATATTTAATACTCCATGCATGTGTCCAAACATTCGATGTGACAGGAATTTTAGGAGCTTCTGTAGAAACCAAGGCCCTGTTTGGTTCCCAGCTCCTAAAATTTTTAGGAGCTAAAAGTTTTAGGAGCTTTTATGAGGATGCCAAAATCTACTAAAAGAGTGTTTGGTTTCATCTACTAAAACTGACTAAAAACAATAAATGCACTAACAAATAGACCATGTAGCCCTCCTCTTTAGGAGAGAGAGGAGGGCGGGGCAATAAAGGAGGGGTAGTGAGGGTCTAGAATGAACTTTAGGAGCTTTTATGAGGGGTAGAGCTCCTAAAGTTTTTAAGAGAAGGTGTTTGGTTCTTTAGGTAAATTTTATTTAGATCTTAGGTCCTAAAACTTTTAGAAGGGTAATCAAACGGAACTAAACAGGCCCTAAACTTGCGCTCAAATGCTCAATCACACAAGTCTGTCTCACGTTCGCAGCAGACTATACGTGGCGACGCGGCTGCTGAAGTATATTCGGCGGTTCTGCCGCAGCAGAGCGCGAGGCAGCACACGTTCCTCCTCTCCCGTCCAAGGCATCGCCGAGCAAACCGTGACGGTAAGCCGCCGCTGTTGTTTCCCGTTTCTGCACTAGTTTACTGGCAAAAGACAACAGTCCCCCCCCGATCTCCATCCACCAATCCTGCGCCTCCGCCTTAGCACGCCGCACATTCTGGTCCCCGTGCCGCCGTTGCGCTCCTGGGCCCTGCCACGCGCATCGCCTCAACCAAATCGCCACCCACGCCGACGCGCCGCGCGCGATCCGGCTCCCTCCAGTTAACCTCTGGATCGACTCGCCCCGTCGCCGCGCTCATGGCGCTGGTCCGCCCCGAGCATCCAAATCTGGCCGCCCGCCGCCCGCGGCTCGTCGTGCTCCTCCTGCTCGCCTTCTTCGCCCTTCAGCTCCTCGTCTTCCTCGCTTTCCGCGCCGTGCGCCCCCCTCCCGCCCCGGCCTCCGCCGCCGCCGTGCCGGTGCTGGCGTCGGCGCCGATGCGCCGAGACGAGAATGATTCGCGCTGCGGCGGCGGCCTCGTGTACCTCTACGACCTCCCGCGGCCTTCAACGAGGACCTGCTCGGGATGTGCGACGCGCTGGCGCCGATGTACTCGCTGTGCCCCTACCTCGCCAACGACGGGCTCGGGTTCCCTGCGGGCGGGACCAACCTGTCGTCGCTCCTGCCGCGGCAGCTGCTCGGGTCGTGGTACGCGTCCGACCAGTTCGCGCTGGAGCACATCGTGCACCGCCGCCTGCTCTCCCACAGCTGCCGCACGACGGACCCGGCGCGCGCCGCGGCGTTCTTCGTGCCATTCTACGCGGGGCTCGCCGTGGGCCGACACCTGTGGGCGGCCAACGCCACCGGTGCCGACAGGGACAGGGACTGCGTCGCGCTGCTGTCGTGGCTCCACGCGCAGCCGTGGTACCGACGGTCCCACGGCTGGGACCACTTCATCGCGCTGGGCCGCATCACGTGGGACTTCCGCCGCACGACGGACGCCGGGTGGGGCGGCAGCTTCCTCACCATGCCCGGGGTGGCCAACGTCACCCGCCTCGTCATCGAGCGCGACCCCTGGGACGGCATGGACGTCGGTATCCCGTACCCGACCGGGTTCCACCCGCGCACCGCCGCCGACGTGCGCGCGTGGCAGCGCTACGTCGCGCGGCGCCCGCGCCCCAGGCTCTTTGCCTTCGCCGGCGCGCCGCGGTCGGCCATCAAGGGCGACTTCCGCGCGCTGCTGCTGGAGGAGTGCCAGGCGGCCGGGGCCGCCGCCTGCGGCGCGCTGGACTGCGCCGAGGGCAGGTGCATCAAGAACAACGCGCTCGTCATGGAGCTCTTCATGGGCGCCAGGTTCTGCCTGCAGCCGCGCGGGGACAGCTTCACGCGGCGCTCGCTGTTCGACTGCCTGGTGGCGGGCGCCGTCCCCGTGCTGTTCTGGCGGCGGAGCGCGTACCGGCAGTACGGGTGGTACCTGCCCGTGGACGGGCGCGAGGGGAGTGGTCCGTGTTCATCGACCGCGACCAGCTCCGCGCGGGGAACCTCACGGTGCGCGGCGTGCTGGCGGCAATCCCGGAGTCGCGGGTGCGGCTGATGCGGAAGCGCGTGGTGAAGATGATCCCGGGGCTGCTGTACTCCGCGGCTGATGGGGAGGGCCTCGGCGGCGGCATGAAGGACGCCGTGGACGTCATGGTCGACGGCATGCTGCGGCGGGTCGCCGAGCAGCGCCCGAGATGGCGGACGACATGATCTTAGCTTCTGCAGCAGAGCAAATTGATCATTCTTTTTTACAGGTTTTTTCCTTCTAAATTCTTTGTGTGAGGAATTTTGCTCGCTCCCGAAAGATTACTACGCGTAGTCTCGAGTTGTGCTACTCCGGCTCTAGCTGTAAATTTACACTCATTACAACAGAATCAGAAAGTATGAATCCGTGTACGATGAATTGCATGCTCGTGACTCTGCTAGAGATTGGGCGCCGTGAATGTTGAAGTTTGTACCAGTTGACGGGCTACATACATTAGATTTTGTACTATAATCTTTTCTTGTAGTAGTAGCAGCACCAAATTTGACCCGGAATGTATAGTTATGCTCAATGTATTTCAGAAATATATATATTGTTTTGCTCAGAATGAACGAGTGATTGGCTCCTCGATCTGATCTCGGCATGTCACCATGGAGCCCAACACTCTCACTGTCTCTGGCGCTCTTTTATTTCTTGCAGCTGGCAGTCTGGCACTAAAATGGAGCGGGGAATCAATTGGGCAGATCAATCAATAAATAAAAAATTAAAAATTGTCCCGTATCCAACGTGGTAGACATCGGTTTGGAACATTTACCGTGGACTGAAGTCCAGCCAAGTCTTCAACGGTTTACAGACAGTATTCAGACAAACAGAATCTGAGTTTAGCTCCTGTACATGTAGCATGCCGACGTGCTATGCAAGTTCAGAAGATGCCTTACGTGTTAGCATGTATAGTGCCTTTGTGGATTGTTGATTTTGGTGGCACTATTGCATTGCAGGACAACTTCTATGTCGATTGCCACAAGCTTCCCATGCTTTTGCAAGACGTGCTTTGATTGGGCACTGTGCTTTCTAATAGAGCTCGGCACATCGTTGGATCTAAGATGAACAGACTGTAGTATAGCTGAAGCAGATCACGGTTGGCTAGGCTCTGTCTCCATCCATGTCTCTCCTGAATTGGAGGAATTGGCAATGGTCACAAAAGGTATTTATACAGTTAAGCCTTAAATTTCTGCTAACCACCTGTATTTTTATGTCGGTTTTCAGCTTTGTTCTTGGAGAACAGCCTTTTTTTTTAGAAAATCTTGGAGAACTGCCTGTCGTACCAAAAAGTGAGTCGGGGCCTGGCCGAAGCGCGCGTAAACAATTCACCATTGGGCTTATATTAGTCGCTATAATAAAGTATAGGACATCAACATGGGCCGAAAAAACCTCTGGACCACGCTACTTTTGGGCCTCTTTAAATAGACTACTGCACGGCTTACAGAACATCATCAGCTCTGGCCTCTGGGCACTAACCTCCTCCAAATGGGATATCTAGTAGCCTCTACTTTCTGATCATTTTCGTGGTCGAATACTCCTGGAGTCCTGGTCCTGGATGGAGTGAAACGAAGAGCAGCAGAAATGCAAAATCGTGAAGCCACGACCACGATGGCGTAAACCCAGCAGAATAATGACACAGTGCGTCAGCAATTCACAGCATCACACAGGCTTTCAGCAGCTGCACTATCGGACGAGAATTCCAAGGAATCAAAGGAGCGAATCGTCTGCAAAAATCCATGCTCCACCCATGGGAATCTTTGTAAAGAGTCTCTCTCACAGTCTCACTCTCACCTGGTACAAGGCCGCAGCAGCTCTATGGATCGCGCCTCCTTTCCGAGCCGGCAATCATCTCTCTCCCACTCCAGCCCCGCACACGATCCATGGTAAAGCTTCTCTGCCGCTGCCCAAACCAGCACCAGCTTGCCATCAGTCGACCACTACTGATTTTGCTAGTGGTGAGCGCGCACGCTGATCGGTGATCACGGCGGAGTCCAAGTGTCCAACGGCACTGCTGAGTGACAGTGGCGCGGTGCGTCTCTGTGTTTCGCCTGTGCTGCAACCCTCAACGCTCTCCCTTTCTACCTCCCCATCATTGCGAAACTACTGAATTCGAAATGCAGTGATTCTGGGTCACCGCTGGCGCTCGATAGCTTCAGGAATTCAGGATCCATCCATCATACAGTTCAGGAACAAAGTCAGGATCCATCACGAGACGATCGAGCCGCTGCACGTTTACAGTGAACACACAGTTGTTAAATTGCGGTTGCAGTATTGCAGACCTGCAGGAGAAAAACTGGTCAGCTATGGGGAGCATTTAGACCACGTGATTAGTTAAGATTGTTCAGTAAGCGTCGGCGGCGCATCGGTTACCAACAGACTCTAGGTTCTTCGCAGTCATGTTGAACCACACCACACACACGAGTCCCACTCCCATGACGGCCACGTCCCTTCAAGAAATATGTTTCGTTTGAGTTGTGTCTTGTGTGCGGAGTACCTCGGGGTCGGGTTGCAGGACCAGCTTGTGTAAAATTTCTTGTGCAGGACTCGATCTCCACGTGACCGGCACCGGTTGCTTCTGCATCCACCTGTCCTTGCTTCTGTTCTCTGAGTTTGTCTTTAGATTTGCATATGATAATCCCATTGTCTTTGAACTTGTTGAAACGCTGACAAGAGTCCCGAGTCTCGCACATGCAACACTTTGTTAGGGCCGCTTCCAGCACTATTTAATCACCGATCTTCCAGGATTTCAACACGTTGACCTGTTTCAGAAGTCAGGAGGTCAAGATTCGTAAAGATCTACTGCTTAAAAACATCTTTATTATAGTATCATTTTATAATTTTATTAGAGAGTTGTATCAAGGAGCTGCTGGGGTCTAGTGAGTCACCGACGAACGAACACACGCTGTGCAAGTGCAGCGCAACCACTGTCTACTTTTCCAAATCACGGAATTGCCCCCGGTGCGTGGCGCCTCGCAGAGATGCTATCGCAGAGTTCTGCCACGTACAGACATACTGTAGCCCGTAGGACTACGCCATCGTCACAGAAAACCAGAGACCGCTCCGCTTTATCGCCCCCGGGAACGGAGCAGCGAAAGGATCCGAGGGACTGTTGGGCAGGACTCGGCTGCTGCGGCTGATACGTAGGTAGGACTCATTAAACATTGTTTCTAGGACTGATTCTGACCAATAAACTCAAATAAACGCAAACGAACGAAGCCATGCCAACCAGCCAACAAGGCAAAAGCATGGCCAGCCCCAGCCAAAAAGATTGGCAAAAACGTGAGAAAACCGAGAAATGCAGCCATGCCACCATGCGATCCTCTCCCGGCTCCCGAGTAGAGCCAAGGCCTGTGCGCGGTTTGGAGGGGTCGTGCGTGCTTCCCTCCCTTCCCTCCTCCAAGGGACCCCACGGCCACGGCCACGGCCTGACCATCGCGGCCAGCGTGCAACAGTGCAAGAGTGGCGAGTATACACGGTAGTACTCCGTATACGATACGTTTGTAGTCACGTACACGGTGCCAGGGCGCAGCGCAGAGTCACATGATGCACCAGGGGCAGTAAATGAAGGTGAAAAATTGTAGTTCATGAGGTAAAATTGCTTGAATATTTGACGACGAACTGGACGGGCCTCCAAGTTTTAATCACTTGAATTTATACCGTTCACATTTTTCGCATCTCTTCTTTCTCATAGTCCATACGTATTACGTAGTACTACATTCAATCAGCAATGACTGAATCCCTAGTTCGATTGGCACAACGAATGATACGGCTAAAGTAGAAGGAATCAAAGCATTTGCAAGAAGCTTCAGAAAACTCCTCGGAAAAAAGATTCAGAAAACTGCTGGATGTGATCATGTGAAATGCAGTCGCTGATAGGTAGAATGCACCAAGAGGACTGGAGGACTGCAGAACAACACAGCAAGAAGAACAAGAACAAATCAACATCGAATGATACTACCAAAAGCCGCACACGAGGACTGGAGGACCAAATCCTAGAATTCCTCCAACAAACCAACTAACCAAAACACCTGATGAGCATTATCAAATCATCAATGGAGCCCACGAGAAACTCACGAGCAACAACAGATTTCGCCGCGTCACAACATGCACGCGCAGATTCTTGGAGAGAAAACTACGGGGGGCTCGGCGTCGAACACGCCTGCCGCTCGCTCACAAGAGGAACGCGACGGCCAGGACCACAGAGGCCACCGAGGCCGCGACGCTAACGGCCGCTGCGGCGGCGCCGTTCTTCTTAGATTCGACCTTGTCCACGGCGTCACCGGCTGGCGCGTCGGCGGGGGACATGTCGGGCGAGTCCGCCGGTGGCGCGGGTGGGGAGTGCGAAGGGGACTTAGCCTTCTTCTTCTTCTTCTTGCCAGCGGCCTTGGGAGAGGGCGCCGGGGAGGAGCCTTCGGGAGCAGGGGCCGAAGCGGGCACGTCGGCGGCCGGTCCGGGCGCCGGTGCTGGGGACGGCGCGCCGCCGAAGATCACGTGCGGGAGCAGCACGCTGTCGACCGTGAGGATGACCGTTGGGGGGTCGTCGAGCACGGTGGACGCGACGCGGGACTTGTCCACGCCGGTGTCCAGCGACACTTCGTCGCCGCTGGAGGCGACGGTGAGGTCGTACTTCCCGGCGCCGGTGGAGGCGAGGGTCGGGATGCGGCCGTTAGCGACCTTGAGCGACGCCTTGGGCGCGTACTGCGGCAGCGCGTGGTACTGCAGTAGCGCGACGAGGTCGGCGCTGGTGAGCTTGCTCAGATCGGGCAGGTCCTTGGCCTTGAACGCGTCGTCGTTGGGCGCGAACAGGGTGAGCGCCTTGTCCATGGCGGCCTGGTACGTCTTGACCACCCCGGACGAGACGATGAGGCGCGCGAACTGCTTGCACCCGGCCTTCTCGAGGAGGTCGGTGAGGTTGGCGGACGAGGCGGACGGGGCGCCGAAGAGGCCAGGGAAGGTGATGGGGTCGGAGACCTCGAGGACGGAGAGGTTGGACGGGAAGTCGGCGACGCGCTTGGTGTAGGTGGACTGGA